CTACTCTTTTTTCTTTTTCTTTTTTTGACGGCGTTATTATATGATAGCCGCTTCAACGATGTTCGAAACACGAAGATGAAGCAACGATCTTGACGAAGAGAACGACGCGCCACAGACCAAACTCTGTTTCAGCTTACAATGGACCGCCGTGGACGGTACGAGCAGTGCCAGCCAATCCAGCGCTGCACATCTATGACGTCACTCCAAACCCCGCGAATCCCTGCGTCTGTTTTTAGGGTCACGTGACACTCGCTCCGCATTTTATTGGCTGTGGATGGCTCGTAGCGTCCGCTCTGGTTCATCGTAACGTGAAAGGGAGCATAAACGGAAGCCTGTTTCGAGGGTTTTAACAACTGCATACCTTCCAAGGGGACCCAGTATAACGAAGCATCCGCGAAGAACAAACATTTGCTTCCCCGCCGTCGCAAGGCGTTTCGTCGAAGCCGTTTCTCGTGTTTCCTTTTTTTTTTTTTTTTTTTTTTGTCTTCTGGGTTTTACGATCTTGGAAGCATAGTGAAGAAATACATGTATGCACACATAAAGAAAAGCACGCACCACAAATCCCTATCACCACGCCAGAGGCTTCCTCTTGAGTAGACCAACGTCCGCGGTAGACCTTAACGAAGTACGATATTATCAAGCTGTAAAACAGCGCCCTCTAAACCCCCGAGCATATAAAGGTTTACTCGAAGAGGTGCAGCCTTCGCTTCATGACGCATACGGAAAATCCTCTCTCCTTCTCTCCTATACATATAGTCGGGAGAGAGAGGCCAAAATGCAAGGACGGTTTCAACACAAAATTACACACGTAATCCAAAATGTTACGACTTTGTCAACATGAAACGGTGTTTTCCGACGTTTGCATGTCGTGTTTTTATCTGAGACTTCAGTAGTGCATGTCGAAGCGGAGAAAGATATAAAAGCGATTAATGGACACCATCGCTTCCAGGATAGCTTTTGAATTACGCCGATTTGATGGCGATGAATCAGACTGATGTACCCGATTAATCTGTCGTGAACACGCTGGAGTCAAATCGTGTTAAATAAATCAGCCAGACCGAATCAAATCCGCTATCGGATGGGAGCGATGCAACCCCTTATTTTGTTAAAAGTGTACAAAGAAACGCGATCCACGTGTTTATGGACGAATAGAACGAAGATTTTGTTTGATAAATGGAAAGCCTTATTAAATTTTGCTATACAGCAAAAGTTTAATGTCGTTCCCACCGAATGACGGTGGAGAGTTTTAAAATAGGGGGCCCCAACGCGTCGCGTCCCACAAACAGCCTATCGGGTGATGTAAAGCGTTGGGTCACCCTATATAGACCGATCCCACCAGCCAGTTTGGATACGCCACCGCCGCCGCAATGCATAGAGGAAACTATAGCTTTTCTGAACGTCCGACAACCTCGCTGGAGCTTTGCGCGTGGTGAGCGCGAGACAGCACGAGCCCTCTCATGCACTGCTGTTTGTCTCCTGTGAACTAAAGTTATGGCGGCGTCACGCATGCACCGAACGCTCGGTGAGATCGGTCTATTCTAAAACTCTCTATAAATGGCATGCCCCGATTGGTGCCCCATGCGCGCAAGCACGTGCAATGTGCGCGTGAACGTACTTTTGGCAAGCTTGCATTCGCACGGGGCGTGCCAGCGCGAGCAGAGAAATGGTGGCGGCTACTCGTCCCAGCTTGCAATCACCTATTAGCGACGTGATCGAAAGCGTCACGGTCGGCCCACCACAATTGGCCGTATGCTGACTATGACGTCGGCAAAGAATGTCTCATAGACGGAAATAAGAGGAATGTAAGAACTTCAATTTTGACGGTGTTGGCAGTGTTGCTTTGAGAGCGTTATGATTTCAAGCTTCCACCAGCTCATTACAAACATCACTGAACGTGTTGTTCACAAGGTAATGACGTCACGAAAGGTAACCAAACGAGGGCGCTACCGAAACATCTCGCCGCTAATAGACCTACTGCTAAATTACCCAAGCATCAAGGAGAAGGCAGCACAGAGAGAAGAAGGCAACACGCGCCGCACGTGCTGGCCTCGGCAGTAGTCTTTTCGAAAGCAAATGCCTAAAACAAATGGCATCTTGCACGCGCGTTCGTCGACGCTATATTTTAGTTATTTACTCCGAATCTTTTATACGGGGAAGGCGTGCGCGTGTGGCGCGTAGAACACCTATTCCTGCATTTTCCTTGATGCTTGGATAATTTAGAAATAGGTTTATTGAATGGTCGGCGAATCAGCTCACGATCCTGACGACAAGCACCGCGCGTGCGCTGCGCTGCTCGTGGAGTGGCGCGCGCTGTTTAGCCGACCAGATGATGCCATTCGCTGGGAATGACCGATCTCATAAGCGTTCCACGCATGCGTCCCCTCGCCATAACTGTAGTTCACATAGGAGGCCAGGCAACGTTACTAAACCACTCAGTCGGGAAACTCACCCTTGAAATATGGGCCGCTGGCGTCCACCGAGACCGAGCTAAATACGATGACAGCGACACCCATTAGCGACGAGTTGGAACATGAAAGTTGCTTTATACGGCTACTGCTAGCGTCACAGAATGTTCCCAGAGTACAGAAACTCCCTGGCTCGAGGTGCCAAGATGGCGGGTCAATCTTCTTTACTGTGGTCACCATGAGCTTTTAGAAAACAGTTTTTTGTTTTGCGTAAATCAGATGGAAAAGGTATTTTTTTTAGGAACTTTCTGTGGAGATTTTAGTACAAAATAACAGGCGCGTGATGTTTTTAAAAAATCTTTAGTTTACAAGGCTTTGCGGCACAGATAATATTGTTTTTATACTACCATGGTCTCATAGGTGATTTTGGGTAGCGCGTCCCGACCCGGAAGCGTCCTATATAACTTCGGAAGTAATTCGCGGCGCGTCCGCTTGAGAGGCACGGGTTGGCATCCCTGAAATCTTTTCCACCGTACATGTTTCGGTGCCGAAATGTCCGATTAAAGCCCAAATAGAAAAGTCTCAGCCGACGCTATCGAATGCGATACTCCCGAACCAATACAAGTAGCCATGCAGTTCCCCGAGTGGCCGCTGAGGGAGAAAGGGCGGCGTTGGGATCGACATTAGCTCGGCTCTCGGGTACAAATCGGTGCCACTTTTTCTGAGCAGGCTCTATGGCAGTTTCTTAACTGAGTTGTTCTAGTAACGTTGAAGGCAGACGACAGTGAACGAAACAGCTCGTGCCGCCTCGTGCTCTGCTCTCTTAGACCCTCAGTTGTCGTGCGTGTAGAAAGACTACAGATCCCACGGTGCATGATGGCAGAGCTGGCGCAGTGAAAACCGGGCGTGAGATCGGCCTATTGACTTAGAGTTTACCGTGTAACAGGGGAAAAAATCGAAAATTACAGTAGCCAGTTTGTACCCAAAGGCGACCTCGTTGAAAATTGACTATGATATCAACACTCAGCGCCGCTTTGTATATAAGATTCAACATCAAAAGACGCTGGAGAAATACTCAGAAAGAATGTGACTCTTTGATATCTCTAATACGCAGTGTTATACAGAAACTATACGGAGCACAAGTTCGTCTGCTTCTTGAGAAGGTATTGCGGTAACGTCAGATTCGCCGAGCTCTGATTGGCTCCGATTGGAAGGAGAGTCGGTAGATCTGAAGGCAGCTAGCCTCGAGGTCTACCCACTACCCCTCAATCAGAGCCGATCAAAGCTCGACGTTCGGACGTCAGTGCAGTCCCTGCGCAAGAAGCAGATGAACTTGCGCACCGCATTGTCGCTGGCAGTTAAGAAAACTGCAGAGCGCAGCTTATTATCCTCATCCTTTCTGCTTCTTGATTTGTTTTTCGGCGTTCTCATCGGCAAAGGTTGTAATATTACGAATCGATAATAAGGTGCTCGTGAGTTGAAACGCCCTGTGTTTATTAAGTTGTCGGTCACTATGCGAGTACAAGGCAGCAATTGAAACAAGGTATACGCTGGGGCAACCTTTGTTGATAAAAGATCGCCGTAATTCGGGAAGCAATGCGTTACCATTTGGAATATATTTGTGCGTAAAATCAAGCGACATGAGCTGGAAAATAAGGTCGAGTAAATAGCAGTGGTACACTCTCAAAAATAAGCGTGCCAAATCGACTGAAAAGGGTCTTTGCGCAAAAAGGAGGCGTGTCCCTTCGAGATTCTGCCTTCAAAAGAACGCTTTTCGAAAAAAGTAAGAAATGTGGCTTCGGGACGACTTGAGAGGGTGCTTTGTGGGAATAGGCGAGAGAGAAAGCGTGCTTTCAAGCAAGGTCATTTCGGCACGGGAGCGCGGGGGCAGTGCAGTGAAAGGTGCAGGCACGCGTTCCCTCTACCGTTTTGAGCGCGGGTCCTTCTGCTGTCCCCGGAAATGCCAAGAATAGTTGTCGAGAATGACCTAGAGGTGGCGCTGACCCGTATGGCTCTGGGCTCTCCTAGGATTCCTGGCAGCGTACATTTATTTTGACATCCGTCACCAGACCGACAGTCACCGCACAGAGTTGGAAGGGTTGAGAGGATGATAGGGAAGGAAGGGAGGGTGGGGGAGGAGAGAGGATAGAGGTGAAGGGAAAGAGAAAGATGTTTTTGAGCCGGTGCGGCACATGCCGAAGTCAAAGAGGGGGGGGGGGGGGGGGTGTAATAAGGGAAGTAACCTTGAGGAGAAATTAAAGAGTGGGCGACCTTACTTCAAAGGCGCCTACGTTTGTCGCATTTCGGGACGCAGAAAGGAAACGTCGGCGTCGGGTTGGGGGCTTGTCGGGTTTTTGGTTCCTCCCAGTCTGCCTGCTTTGTGGTAGCTCCAGATGGGTTTCTCGTCTGCGTTGGTTCCTGTTTGGTTGCTGTACGTGTTGCTCTTCTTTTTTTTTCTTCTTTTTCCGTGACATTTTGTGGCATTCATGGGCCGCTATGGGGTCCTCACCACTACGCGGCGCTAAGCCAGCGAAGATACGCAGTGCGCCATTTCGTTCACTCGGAAAATGACTCTGGACATGGACAAGTGGATGACGGATGATGTCAGCGCATGGTCGACCAGAAAACCGATTGGGATCTGCGTGTTCTGCCTTTCAAGGTAAATATTTTTTCTGTATATGTGCGTATTGAAAGTATATTCTAAGTAATACTATCAGTATTATGGTACCGGTCACTGAAACTTACATTTTTGTTAATCGGTGAGAGAAGGAAATGGCGCGTCATAGAGAGTGCATGAAGCGTAAGGCGATGCTTTAGGACGCCTGGACTCCAGCACCTGCTCGTTGCCCTTCGCGGTGCTTTGGCTGCTCGCGCCACCTTTTTTAGGAACTCACCGGTTCGAGATTTTTGGGCAGAGAACGCGCGTGCACACCACGAGCGCTCTCGCTAACTCTCGCTTGAAAGCACGCCATGGTCGCTCGTGAATCCAAGGAGCGCGAACATCTGTTTTTATATCAGAAACTCTGGAACCATGATTTCTAAAGAGGTGGATTGTTGAAGCCAGAAGCTGCGGCTCTTTTTGTATTGGTTCTACTACTAAAACATTGAGTCGTGGTAAAGAAACCGCAGCACTGGATCACAGAGGCCATCTCGGAAGCTTTTTTCACGTTTATTTTCAAGTTAATTAAGATATTCAGCGAGAAGTCAATTTGCAAGCTTGTTTGTAATATTGATGACGAGACCGCATCGTCAGGTCAAAATATACGAGCAGTAAATATAAGCTTTTTAAGAATTGCTTACCACTCGCAAGAGTTTTCTTCGCCCTCATATTCTCAATGCTATGAAATCTGGCGACTCCAAATTTAAAATTACAAATTTTTTTTTTAACTTTTCTATTTAAATTTTTACTCTCACCATAAAAGAAAAATCCCAATAAAAGGTCTCAGAGAATTCACTAGCCTATGGCTGTGACAATATGAGGCGAAAAACGTTAATCCGTACTTCATAATCATAAAAAAAACACGCGCACATTTTTTTTTTATTTCACGGCGAGACATTATTGCCGGTTTTATTTTTGTTCACTTTATTTTGCTATCACTATCGCGTTGTGTCGCATATTGCCACAAATATTAGACACCTGCAGTGCTTGGAAGACGACTGCTCGTGGCCATTTTCTCAGTTGCTTAGAATAAAATGTTAAATACGAATCATTAATAACGCAGCCATCTTCATGCGAAGTTTTTACGCTTAATTTTAACGTAGAAAATCCTATCGGCGAGGATAACTTGGTAACAATTGTCACGCGACCTGACAGCGTTAGGGGTCATGCCGAATGTCTGACATCCGGATACGCCGGATATCGAGCCTGCTTGGGGGGAAAGTCCGTATACTACGCATAAGACTTTTGTGACGGATGTCTAAAACGATTTCGCCTTTATTTTTTTCTTTATTGCAAATTTAGAAAAAAAGAGTCAGCAGTAACTCAAGATTTAGATTTTATTTTTCGCCAGTAAATTTACACTAAGTTCAATAGTCGCAGCCAATCATTTTAGCAAAAAATTTGGTAATTAATGAATTACATCTTGCTAGTAATAAAAAAAAACGCGATTAAAATGTCCTCCTTACAATTTGCTGTATACAACTCTTACTGAGATTGCTCACTATAGATTTATAAAAATTAATTACTTAGTTAAAAAATTATAAAATATAAAAATAAAATGGCAAAAAAGCGCTCGCTGCAGTATCAGCCGGTAACCTTGACCGCATGAAGAACGAACAGTAAATTTTTAAAAGAGAATTCTTGCGAGTAAGGAGCCATCTTTAAGGTTTTAATTTTCCACTTAGATAATTTTGCTATGACCATTGGATTTTGTTGAACCTACCCACCGATATTATAAACATGCGTGCAAAACGACAGCTTTGTAAATTTTTACAAGCTGCATTAAAAAAATGTAGCAACTCTGCATTAAAATTGCCCGATCTTAGAGCGCGGCCTCAAAAAAAGTGTGGCGTGGCTAATTGCGATCATATGTTGGTTTAGAATTGGTATTATTGGAAACTTGTGCCATCAGATAAGCTGTAGAGTAGTGGTGAGATGCAAAAAAAGGCAAGTGTATTGTGGTGTTGTGGTTGTCTATACAGCGTATATTGGTCTTCCCATCTGCTTTTGCAAGTCATGTCTCCGCTATAGATGAGAAATATAGCCGGTGCAGTACGATTTATCAACCAGTAGGAATTAAACGACTGCACGCCTTGTACTATGCTCATCCAGATTGAGTCATCTCAAATGTCGAAATGTATAAACTATATCTTCAGGTTATGTGTTTGCAGACAATCCTTGAAGGGTCGGCCTCCTGAGCCTGCCATTGGTGTTCCATGAAAGAGACACCTGCTCTTCACGTCCAACAACGTAAGTAAAGTGGTCTCTAATATATTTTTATATATGTATGCTTAATTATTTTTTAGTACATTTTCTTGACCGTATTTAAACGTAATCAACTTATCCTATAATTTTGAAGATATAGGGAATATAAACAACACATATCTTGACCGAACAGTAGAGTTACATACTTGGTGTATGCAATGTAGTGCTTTTTTTTTTTTAAGTTGACGAGATTTGTTTAAAAGAAAAGTCGTGAAAGTAACGGTTATGCTGTTTGTGCAGGTGAGTTATATGGCGAGGGGGACATACTAAAGGGGGCTAATCGATCAGTCAAATAATTAATTAAAATTCGTCAATTAACTTTTTAAGTAATGAAAATCGACATATGGTTCCAATTAGAAACTTGCTCAGCGTCATCAAAAACCACTGAATCAGTAATTATCAGAAAGACTTTGAGCGCGTGAGAAGCGTTGTAGTTCACTAAAGTTACCACTCGTGAAGCAGGTGCAAGGCTAGCGGTTGCAGAACGCGATGATAATAGGAAGTTTTCGTAGACCGCGTTTCCCCCTCCGCTAAGCCCTCCTCAACGAAGAAACCGCTACTGCGCCTGCGCTCCGAAGGCCTTGACTGTAGAGTTCCGGATATCGTAGTGGGTTACAGAGAGCGTTGCGGGACGGCCAAAACGATCTACGAAGACTCCCTAATCTAATCATCCATGTTCCGCAACCGCTAGCCTTGTACCTGCTTCTCGACCGGTAACTTTATTGCACTACTACGGTTCTCACGCGCTCGAAGTCATTCTGAAATTACTGATTCAGTGGTTTCGATGACGCTCAGCAAGTTTATAATTAAAACCATTTGTCCACTTTCACCAATTAAAAAGTTAATTAACGAATTGAATTAATTAGTTGACTTATCGCAAAGATTAGCCACCCACATAATGCCCCCCTGGCAGTATAACCCACCTCTTCGAGTGGCATAAGTGTAACTTTCACGTTTTTGTTTAACATATCTGTTAACCTTACTATATATATATATATATATATATATATATATATATATATATATATAATTCAGTTACAGGGGACCCACATTACCTATTCACGTATAAAGTATAAATATTGACATGCATGTGATAATGTTATCTTTTTTGACTGTTGCAGAACGTAAGTGTGTTGACACCGATCATCCAAGTCAAGGAGGATGAATTTTGTGTTTTCGTTGATGGCCTGGAAGCCGTGACCGGCATCACCAAAGAAATTGAAGCTGTTAGTACATTGTTTGCCCTTTACTACATCTTTGATGTGAAGCACCCAGCAGACATCTCACACACGATGAAATGTATCGCTCACTTTTTTTTGTTCTCTTGGAGGGAAAAACATGCCTGTCGCTGTTAAAAGATATGAAACCTTTTTGTCCAGTTAAGTGGTCATTGTTTCAATAAAATGTTAATTATTTAATTACTGTTTGTTTTCAGTATTTTGCTCAAAAGATGTCAGTAGTTTTGTATGTTCGCGTTGAATAATAGGCTAAATAAAATATGTAAAGTGAACAAGTGTCTTGTTTTTATAATTATTGGCTTTGGTCAATCAGACGCTTTTGGGAGCACTAAATACTTTGTAGAGAATAGTAAAAGTAGATAACTCGCCATATGATTCACTTAGATGGTTTTATTAATCATCAAACAAGCCTCTATTAAGATATCAAAATCAGGTTCAGTAAAATTTTTATTTTAAGAAGCCGCGAATCGTTCACTTTATTGTCTGGTTGGTAAACACCCATTATGATACCATTAAGAATTTATAATAAGGTGGCTAAAAAGCAATAATATATATAAAGCACCGATCAGGAGCTCGATAGAAGATCCAAATAAGATTCAATAAAGAACCAATAAATGGTTTTTTTAGAAAGCCATAAATGGTTTTAGAAATATCCTATTGTAAGGTGGGTAGAAAGAACCCCTAACGGTTCACAGCCCCGATCAAAGATTCAATAAAAGATCCTAATAACGCTCCATAAAGAACCAAAGAATTCGTTCTTTGAAAGAGCGCTAAATGGTTTTAAAAAGAACCTTACTAAAGGTGGCTAAAAAGAACTAAGGCGTTCTTGAAAGAACCCATAAAACGTTCTAAGAAGGATCCAACTATGGTTCAGACAAGAACCCATATAAATAGTTCTTTTGAAGTACCATTATCGGAGCCAAAAATAACCATTCCTAGGGTTCTGCTAAAGAACCGAAAAAGGATTTATAAAGAACCCAAAAATTGGGTTTATCAGAAGAACCGATAATGTAGGTTCTTTCCGGAACCTTTAAAGGTGCCGCCCATCGGACAAGTGAAAGAACCCAAAATGGTTCTTTAGGGCACCTTTTTTTTTAGAGTGTATTTCAAGCCACTGATAATCTGAAAACGTCTGGACAGAACAAGAACGTCCCCCCCCCCTAATCCCCCCCCCCCCCCCCCGGCCCAATTCTACATATCTCTATGAACGCATTCACACGACGGCAGAAATATCAGCGCACTACATTCATTACGAACAGCCGGGCTCGTGGGGGCAGGGGCAAAACTCCTGAAAACCCTTCCCGAGGCGTATTTACCGTGTCGCTCACTACAGCTGACGCTCGGTGAGCTCGCCGTTTGGGCGTTTGCAAAGTGTGCTAACAAAATACACATATCTGCCCAAAATGACATGACGCTGTACAAAATGTCATCCGCGCAGCACAGAGTCTTCGAGGAAATTCGCTTTCAGAAAGCTTTCACCAGCAGCGAAATCAGCAATGGGGCCAGTTAGTACACCGATAGGGGTGATATTCACCAGTCACACACTGTTCCACGCAAGAAAGGTCTAGTGGCAGCAGCCATTTTCGATGTTCCCATGCTTTACGTGCCGGCTTCTTTTCGTGTCTTGCACCATGATGCCGCTGGACAATTTTTATTAAAGCGCCTTGATGAAACTCACGCTTGGTGACTATCCCAAACATCAAGGGGGCTTTAGTTTTAGTTACACGTTCAGCTAAATTTTTTTTTTTACTTTAAATATAAATTTTGGACAATTAGCGCTCACTGACCGTCACACTTGAACCCACAATGATGCCAAGCGCGTGCTCACTGCAAAAAGCTCCCCTTTGACGTAAGTCAAAAGCTTCAAATTTGAACGTGTAAAATGTACGTTTCGACAGCACTGCTGAAGGTCGCAGATATCACTCGTGAAGAAGTAGTGGAAATCAAAAATTAGCGAGCGAATATCTTCTATTGTTATTTCCTTTAAAACGTCTGACTCTCGGGCCGTGATCGATACTATCCTACAAAAGAGTGGAGTACTGAACTTATAAACAAAACAAAAGGTGCGTGAGTTTACTTCTCTGCAGAACACAGAAGCAGCCATTCACGTCGAACAATAGCAAAGGATCAGGGAATGAAGAAGCTCAAGAGGTAACTTAAAGTTTGGACTTCGAACTTTAGGTTACCTTTAATTTCCCACAATTTACTTTCGATTTCGGGTGGGGTATCTCTCGGTGTATTACGTAATAATATCCTGAGCATCTTGATTGGTTGAACTTTTCCCATTGTTCGCCGCGGTGGGCTGTAACCTCTCTGTTCGGTAAAAAAATCCACCCACAATTCTTTTTTTTTAGAGCATGTTTGCGTGTGTTGACCGCAGAAGGACTACGCGACATCTACTTAGGGTAGATAGTTCTCGTACCGGATCTGGATGGATCGCCGTTCGCAAGTCTGAGATCGTAAAGGTCGGAAATGGGTCGTTAAGATCCGGTCGCCACACTAACTCACCATGGTAACTCACGACAACAAACACAAAATGTAAACACAAAACAAAAAAAAGTGCGGCTTACCCTCGGACATCCGCGATATCGGCGCGACATGCTGGCTCCATTATATACATCGCAAATCGTAAATGCATTATTTTGTTTTATTCTTTATCTGATCTAGTTCTGCTATGGAGCTCGATGTTTTTTTACGTCTGTTTCAACGCTTGTAATACTCGATTTTCGAAGCGAGACGCACGCCATGGGCAGTGTATCGAGCTGTACACGATACAGCTGGATACATTACTCTTCGCAAGCTGATGTGTGTAAACTTTGTCAGCGTTCAGAAGACCTCACACGCCTTATGTTTGTTTCTTTTGGGAAAGCACTGGAGGAGGGCAGTTAACGTATATTTCTTTGGAAATTACAACAGAAACGTGTCAGAATGAAGTGATTCAAACTTTGCCGCGCCGGCAGTGCGTACCTGAGTATTGAAAACCAAGTGTTTCTCTTTGAAAGGGGTTTGCTCAAGTTTACCGCGATTTATATAGTTTTTATTGTAATCTTTTTATATTGTTTTCTTAATCTAGTAGATAGAAAACTGCGCGCTTGAATAAAAGAGACGATGAGAAAACTTTCGGTGCTTCTTACGGTATAAACCGTATTGCTCGTTAGATATATCCGCAATTTTTATGTTTTGATATGTGTGTCTTATATAGACGCTTTACACACGCGCCAGATTGAGCCGCCATAGCCGCCCTTCTCTTGTCTTACCTAAGTCTTACCGAGATGCCGAGCCACTGAAGCGGGCGTTGACGGGTCTTCACAAGGGCCTATGCTGGGCACAAGAACACGGTAGCATCTAAAATGGCAATAACCTGTCCTGCTGTGGTAATGATGAAGTGAAGCGAACGGAATAAGAGGGAACAAAAACTGAAGGTCAGTTATGGCGGCGCCCATGCACAGCTGCTCTAAAGCGTCTATAGGCAAGCAGCAGATGTTCAAAACTCATCAAACGCTCAATCTAAAAAAAAAGATCGTCTTGGAAATCTGAAGTAATCTAAAAATTAACGGTTACTTTTTTTTAAGTTACAGTTACTTTTTTCCCCTTAAGTAATCGAGTAATCTAACGAAATACTTTACAATCAAGTGTAATTGCAATTTTAATCAATTACTTTTTCTCGAGTAACGTTTACAAGACTGATTAAATGATATTGATTTGTCTTTTCTTTTATGCAGTGTCAAACAGCGCCTGCCGATAAATATTAATATTTTCGGCGTTCGCCCGGTTTTGCTCGCCCTGCGACTATATTCGCCCTTTCTCGCGTGAGTTCAATCGTGGTGGCGCCAGTGTGCAATCAAGCACAAACCACTTCCGGTCCTGAACCAGACGGCGGGTTTCGAAAGATTTGCGAAATCAAATATTCACGCGATGTTCTAGAAATGGCCGCTTATAGCACTGTCAGACTTGATGCACCTTTATGATAAAAGAAAAAGAAAGAAAAAAAGATGACGAGAAAAAAAAAAGGGAAATATTCGTGAACCGGAAGTGTGCCAGGGCTACCCAATAGATGGCGCCACTGAGTTTGTTAAGCCAAACCAAAAAGGGGGTGAATATGCAATGTTAGCGGTAGCGCGCTACTTTTTTCAGTAATGTAACAAACGAACTCGTTACGTTGATCTTTTTTTTTCTTCTTCAAAACGGTAAGGATAACGTTTTAAGTTACTGATTTTGGGTAACGGGTAACGTTGTTCTTTACGTCTGCTTCTCAAGACCTACTAGACGGTGTTTTAATTAATTCTGATGCTTCTGAAGTCCTCACAAACATTACACTCCAAATGTGTCTTTTTTCGTGTTTTGAGTTGCCAAGTTGTGAATTCTGGCAATTTTTCCGGCTTTTGTTCGCTTTTTTTCTCGGAAGTATTCGGGTGAAACTGCAAGAAAAGTAAATTAATAGCGTTAAAAAGGGGCACTGAGGTCAATTCTGAGATCGTCCTTTTGTGGTGACACCTCAGTCTAGACGCTCAATGCATCAAAATAAACCCGAAACCACAACTGTGCGTAGCTTATTTCCTCGTTAAAAGCATGTTTAAAGATCGGGAAACTGACTTTTTGGGAAGAATTTTTTTCCGAGTGAAGGGGTCGACGAAGGGCGCTTGTCGGCGAGTTGCAAGCAATGGCTTCAGCCACTGAGGAAACGAGAAGTCTTACCCGAATCTGTACCTATCAGACTGTCTTCCAAACAATTTATAGTAAAATTATTCGGAATCTGCGCGTATTGTAAGGCTTTAATCGGTCCACACAATGTAGTCCGCGAGAAAAAAGGGTCCACATGTTTTTCTGTTGCCCTGAGATGAATAGGCGGTTTTGTAATTTTGAACTTGGTATACGTAGAAACTAACACATTTTAAACAATATAAGATCAAAAACGACCTTTTTCGAGAATGACTTCAGTGCCCTTTTAAGTTTCTGCATGGACAGAACGTTT